GGTGAAGGGTTTTGGGAAAATAAGGTAAAAAAGGGGGGGGGTTTGAGGTTGGGTGGCATTTTTAAAGTTGGAAGGTAAGGTCCCAGGTTTGGCAGGGACAGTTTTTCCTTTGATAAAGGCAAAGGGGATTAGGGGTTTCATTAAGGGGTGAAGTTGTGAGTGTCAGTGAAGTGTATGTGACAGTTGTCAATTGACAGGTGTCAGTAAGACGAGTGTACAGAGACAGGTGGTCAGGACAGGTGGTCAGTGACAGGTGTCAGTGACAGTGTCAGTGACAGGTGCATGACAGGTGTCAGTGAAGGTTTTCAGTGGACAGTGTCTGGAAATGTGTCAGTGACGGTGTCAGGACAGGGAGTGACAGGTGTCATGACAGGTCATGCAGGTGTCAGAACAGGTGTCATGACGGGTGTCAGTGACAGGTGTCATGACGGGTGTCGTGACAGGTGCAAAAGGTGTCAGTGACAGGTGTCGGGGCAGGTGTCGTGACAGGTGTCGTGACAGGTGCAGTGACAGGTGTCAGTGAAGGTGTTTGACAGGTTTCAGTGCAGGTGCAGTGACAAAGGAGTCAGAGACAGGTGTCGTGACAGGTGTCAGTGACAGGTGTCAGTGACAGGTTGTCAGTGACAGGTGTCATATCAGCGTCAGTGGAAAGGTGCGTGCGGGTGTCAATGACATGTGTCAGACAGTGAGTGACGGGTTGTCATGACAGGGTGTGACGTGCTGGAAAATAGTCAGGACGGGTGCAGGACTGTGAAGTGACAGGTGTCAGTGACAGGTGTCTGTTAAAGGGTGTCAGTGACAAGGTCAGTGACAGGGTCATGACGGGTGTCAGTGACAGGTGTCATGCATGTGTAAGTAAACAGGTGTCGTGACAGGTGTCTGTGAAAATGTCAGTGACAGGCGTCAGTGACAGGGTAGTGACAGGTGATGTAACAGGTGTCATGAACGGGTGTCAGTGACAGGTGTCAAGACAGTTGTCAGTGACAGGTTCAGTGACAGTGTAGTGACAGGTGTCAGTATCATGTGTCAGTGAAAGGTGTCAGTGACAGGTGTCTGTAAAATGTGTCGTGACTGTACTGACATGTCACTGACAGGTGTCAGTGCAGGTGCATTGACAGTGTCATGACAGTGTAAGGGTGACAGGTGTCTGACAGGTGCGTATCTGTTTTCCATGACAGGTTGTCAGGCAGGTGTCTGTGAAATGTGTCAGTGACAGGTGTAGTGACAGGTGCACAAAGGGTTCAGTGACAGGTGTCAGTGCAGGCAGGGGACATGTGAAGTGACAGGTTCAGTGACAGTGTCAGTGACAGGTATCAGTATCAGTGTCGTGACGGGTTTGTCGTGACAGGTATCATGACATGTACAGTGACAGGTTTTCATGACAGTGTCGTGAATGTGGTAAGTGACAGTGTCAGTGACAGTGTCAGTGACAGGTACAGGATAATGTCATGACAGGGTCAGTGACAGGTCAGTGACGGGGTCAGTGACAGGTATCAATGACTTTAAATCAGTGACAGGTGTCATGACAGTGTCAGTGACATGTAGTAAAGGGTGCAGTGACAGTGATCTTCGTGGGACAGGTTCAGTCAGGGGTCGTGAATTTAAAAAAAAAAAGGGGAAATTTAAAATGTAAAAATTTCATAATTATAAGTTATAATTTTTGAATGTGTGGATTTTTTTCCGGGGAAAAATACCCTTTTATTGTCAGTAAATTTTGTAGGTTTTTGTTTTAGGGACTCTCCCGTATGAAGATAGACTTAAAGCCCTTAATCTCCATCTCTGGAGAGAACGTAGAATGAGGGAGATATCACTGAAGTGTATAAGTGGATGACGGGCATAAACAAAGAGTTATTAATAAAGTACTGAGGGTATCTTAACCAGGTAAGACCATTAATAATGGATTAAGTTGGAAAATAAATGGTATCAAATACCGACACAATGAAAATATAAACACATATGCAGTATAATGTGATCCTTTATTGACAACGTTTCGCCCACACAGTGGGCTTTTTCAGGTCACAAAACAGATCTACCTGGAGGTGAAAAGGTACGTGGGGAGAAGTATTATAGTCAGGTTCAGATGTTGGTCGGTGAGAATGCTGCATCTGATGATCTACCGGGTTGGGGTTTAAAATCTAAATCTTGGTAGCTTGGAAGGGATATTGGATATTTGTGAGCAGACCTTCGGCAGTTTCCTCCATTCCTATGTCTTATGTGGGATAGCGATGAAGAAGGTTCTTGGCAAAGGTTCAGCTATGTTATAGAAGCACACATTCTGGTTTGAAGTTGTTCGAAATAGAGATAAGCGATGATCCCAAGGATTCTTCGTATTTGAGTGTTGACTTCTCTTGCTATTAAGTTTTGAGTTTCCTGTATTTATTAAATGGTTGAGTGAATTACTGTGTTTGTACACAGGCTTTTCTTGTGTCCATCAGAACTGCCTGCGTATTGGTGTCAGAAATACGTGTTTGGAGTCTCTGATGTTTCGCCCACGTATATATTGCTGCATGGTCATTACAAGGATTTATGTATATCCTGCAAGGATGGAAGCTTGCCTGTGCTACAACTGTTGATGTCCTTGATGGTCGTGGTTGTGGAGGTAGATACTTGGAATGAGTATTGGAAAAGAAGGTGGAAACGTCTTTGGCAATGGAGTTGGTGAGAAGACTAAATGTATCTCTTCTCGCAGTGTCTTCTCTGGGTGTGTTGAAGATTTTAATGCCCGTCGTCTGCATCTCTGATGAATTAGAGGATATTGAAGTTTGGAAAATACTTGTTCAGTTATAGTGCATTCTTCTCAAGGAACTCATTGCTGGCAGATTCTGAGTGCACGCAGTTTTTTTTTGGTGTCGTGGTGAAGTAGAAGATGGGAAAGATCGTTTTTGGTTGATGGGTTTTCTATAGACTTTAAAACGAAGTTGATGGTCAGCTTTGCAGAGAAAAACATTGAATTGAAGGGCTCGACTCTGGGTTGAGCTTGTCTTTGGAGAGTTTGAACGTTGAAGCATCTGGAGTTATGAGTGAGAATGTCTTCAACATAACTGAGGCCAGTACAGTGAAAGAAGAAGTTGAGAAACCGCTCAGCTTTCCAGAGTTCCATGTATAGTTCACCAGTACCGCACTGAGTGGCGAATCCCATGGGTATCCAAAGTCTGGTGAAAGAGGTGATTTTCGAAAGAGAAACACTAAAGCCAACACATAGTTCAACAAGGTCGATGAATCGCTGGGCCTGGAATAGGAAGATCAAGTGAATCGACCCCCCGGCGCAATTTTCCGCGCAAGAGATCGATGGCTTTGTAGTATGTACTTTGGTGAATAGGGAAGTTAAGTCAGGCTGGAAACGTTCTGTTCTTGAGGTTGATGTTGCGAATGCGAATTGAGATCACCCGAGTGTTTGAGATGTGCTGGACTGATATGCCCAAGAGTTTAGGTAGAGGGATTTTGGCGAGAATTTCCTGAGAGATGGTGGTGAGCACTGCTATTCCCGAAGATATGGGCCTCAATGGATGCCAGGGCTGTGATTTTTGGTTATGGGTGACAGGTGTCAATGACAGGTGTCAGTGACAGGTGTCAGAACAGGTGTCCAGTGACAGGTTCAGTGACAGGTGTCATGAACAGTGTCAGTGACAGGTGTCAGTGACACGGTGTCGTGACAGGTTTCAGTGACAGGTGCGTGAAAGTGTCAGTGACAGGTGTCATGACAAGGGGTATGTGAACAGGTGTCATTGACAGGTGTCAGTGACAGGTGTCAGAGACAGGTGTCAGTGACAGGTGTCAGTGACAGGTGTCAGTGACAGGTGTCAGTGACAGGTGTCAGTGACAGGTGTCAGTGACAGGTGTCAGTGACAGGTGTCAGTGACAGGTGTCAGTGACAGGTGTCAGTGACCGGTGTCAGTGCAGGTTATGTGACATGTGTCAGTGTGCAGGTGTCATGACAGGCGGTCAGAGACAGGTTGTCAGTGACAGGTGTCATTGCCAGGTGCAGTGACAGGTTCAGTGACAGGTGTCAGAAATCAGCTGTCAGTGGCAGGTTTTTTTGGGGGTGGGGGGGGGGGGGGGGGGAGTGACAGGGTCAATGACATGTGTCAGTGACAGTGTCAGTGACATGTGTCAGTGACAGTGTCAGTGACAGGTGACTGGGACAATAGTCAGTGACAGGTGTCAGTGTTCAGATGTGTAAGTGACAGGTGTCATGACCGGTGTCTGTGACAAGTGTCAGTGACATGCGTCAGTGACAGTTTCAGCTGACAGTTCAGTGACTGGTGTTCATGACAAGTGTAAGTGACGGTGTCAGAGACAGTGGTCTGTGACAAGTGTCATTGACAGGCTCATGACAGTGTCAGTGACAGGTGTATGTAGACAGGTTGTCATTGACGGTGGTCAGTGACAGGTGTTTCCAGAGACATTTTTCAGTGACAGGTGTCAGTGACCAGGTGTCATGACAGGTGGTCAGTATCATGTGTCGTGAAAGTGTCAGTGACAGGTGTCTGTGAAATTGTCAGTGGACAGGTGTACGTGACAGGTGTCACTGAAGGTGTCAAGTGACGTGTCAATGACATGTGTCAGTGGACATGTGTAAAGTGACAGTGTCAGTGACAGTGTCGTATCATGTGTCCATGACAGGTGTCATGACATTGTCGTGAAATGTGCCAGCGACAGTTGTACTTGACAGTGTCACTGACAGGTGTCAGTGACAGATGTCGAGTGACATGGTGTCAGTGACATGTGTAAGTGACAGGTGTCAGTGACAGTTGTCCAGTGACAGGTATCAGTATCAGTGTCCAGTGACAGTGTCAGTGACAGATATCAATGACATGTATCAGTGACAGTGTCATGACAGTGTCAGTGACATGGTGTAAGTGACAGGCTGTCAGTGACAAGGTGTCATGACAGTATCAAGATATATGTCAGTGACAGGTGTCAGGTGACAGTGTCGAGTGACAGGTGTCAGTGACAGTATCAATGACATTTATCAGTACAGGTCAGTGACAGGTGTCATGTGACATGTGGTAAAGTGACAGGCAGGTGTCAGTGACATGTGTAAGTGACAGAGGGTGTCAGTGGACAGGTGTCAATATCATGTGTCAGTGACAGGTGTCAGTGACCGTGTCTGTGAAATGTGTCAGTGACATGTACGTGACAGTGACGACTGACATAGGTTGTCAGTGACATGGTGTCAGTGACATGTTCATGACCCATTGTAAGAGACAGGTGTCATTGATCATGTGTCAGAGACAGTATCAGTATCATGTGTCATGATCAGGGTCAGTGACAGGTATCAATGACATGTATCAGTGAGCAGGTGTCAGGAAAGGTGACAGTGACATGTTAATGTGACAGGTGCAGTGACAGGTGTCAGTGACAGTATCAGTGATATTTGTCATTGAACAGGTGTCAGTGACAGGTGTCAGTGACATGTGTAAGTGACAGGTGTCAGTGACAGGAGTCATGTGACATGTTCAGTATCATGTGTCCAGTGACAGGTGTCAAATGACAGGTGGTCCATTGACAGGTATCAGTATATATGTCCGGACAGGTGTCAGTGACGAGTGTCAGGTGACAAGGTGTCCCTGTGACAGGTGTCGGACAGTGACAGTGACAGTGTCAGTGGCAGGTGTCAGTGAACGTGTCAGAGACAGTGTATGTGAACAGGTGTATGTGACAGGTGTGGTGACAAGGTTCAGTGGCAGGTGTCAGTGACAGGTGGTCAAGACAGTTGTCAGTGACAGGTTCCAGTGAACAGGTGTCAGTAAGGTGTCAGTGACAGGTGTACAGTGACAGGTGTCGTATCACTGTCATGGCAGGTGTCATGACATGTGTCAGTGACAGGTGTCAGTGACAGGTGTCAGTGACAGGTGACCTGTGACAATTGTCAGTGACAGGTGTTCAGTGACATGTGTAAGTACAGATGTCAGTGATATAGGTTGCCAAGTATCAGGAGTCAGTGATAGGTGTCTGTGACAATCGTCTAGTGACAGGTTCGTGACATGTGTAAGTGACAGTGATCTGTGACAAGTGTCAGTGCAGAGGGCGTCAGTGACAGGTGTCCGCTGACAGGTGTCAGTGACATTGTCAGTATCATGTTTCAGAGTGAACAGGTGTCAGTGACAGGGTGTCCTGTTATCAAGTGTCAGTGACAGGTGTCGAGTGACAGGTTGTCATGACAGGTGTATGTAACCAGTGTACATTGACGGTGTCAGTGACAGGTGTCAAGACAGTTGTCAGTGACAGGTGACAGTGACAGGTGTCAAGTGACAGGTGTCAGTGACAGGTGTCAGTTATCATGAGTCTAGTGGACAGGTGTCAAGTGACAGGTGTCTGTGAAATTGGTGTCAGTGAACAGGTGTTATACGTGACAGGTGTGCACTGCCAGGTGCAGTGAACAGGTGTCAATAGACATGTGTCCAGTGACATGTGTAAGTGACAGGTGTCCAGTGACAGGTGTCAAGACAGGTGGTCAGTATCATGTGTCCGTGACAGTGTCAAGACAGGTGTCTGTGAAATGTGTCAGTGACAGTTTACGGACAGGTGTCACTGACAGGTGCAGTGACAGGTTCAATGCCATGTGTCAGTGACATGTGTAAGTGACAGGTGTCCATTGACAGGGTCAGTGACAGGTGACAGAATCATGTGTCAGTGACATTGACAGTGCAGGTGTCTGTGAAATGAGTCAGTGAGCGTAGGTGTACTGACAGGTGTCACTGACAGTGTCAGTGACAGGTGGTCAGTGACAGGGTGTCAGTGAACATGTGTAAGTGACAGGTTGTCAGTGACAGTGTCAGTGACAGGTGTCATGTATCATGTGTCAGTGACGAGGCGGACAAGTGACAGGTGTTCACTGACATGTGTCAGTGACATAGGTGTCAGTGACATGTTAATTGACAGGTGTCAGTGCCAGGTGTCTGTGACAAGTGTCATGACAGGACGTCAGTGACAGGTGTGGGGTTTTTTCCCCCCCCCAGTGGGTAAAACATTGTATGGTAACAGTGTCATTGACGGTGGTCAGTGACATGTGTCAGAGACAGTTGTCAGGACAGTGTTAGTGACAGGTGTCAGTGACAGTGTCCATTGACAGGTGTCAGTATCATGTGTCAGTGACAGGTGTCAGTGACAGGTGTCTGTGAAATGGTGTCATACAGGTGTACGTGACAGGTGGTCACTGACAGGTGTCATTGACAGTTCAGTGACATTTGTCAGTGACATGTGTAGATGAACAGGTGTCAGTGACAGGTGCAGTGACAGGTGTCTGTGACATGTGTCAGTGACAGTGTACGTGACAGGTGTCTGGTGAAATGTGGTCATGACAGGTGTACGTGACAGGTGTCAGTGACAGGTATCAATGACATGTATCAGTGACAGGTGTCAGTGACATGTGTAAGTGACAGGTGTCAGTGACAGGTGTCAGTGACAGGTGTCAGTATCATGTGTCAGTGACAGGTGTCAGTGACAGGTGTCAGTGACAGGTATCAGTGATATATGTCAGTGACAGGTGTCAGCTGACAGGTTGTCAGAGACAGGTGTCAGTGACAGGTATCAATGACAGTTATCAGTGACAGGTTCATGACAGGTTCAGTGACATGTGTAAGTGACAGGTGTCAGTGACAGGTGTCAGTGCACAGTGTCAGTATCATGTGTCTGTGACATGTGTCCAGGTGACAGGTGTCTTGACAGGTATCATGATATATGTCAGTGACAGGTGTCATGACAGGTGCAGTGACCGGTGTCAGTGAACAGGTAACAGTAAGAGACCTAGTGTCCAAGTGCCAGTTGTCATGACGTGGTGTCGTGATAGGTGTCGGTGACAGGTGTCAGTTACAGGTTTCAGTGACATGTGTCAGTGAGCAGGTGTCATGACCGGTGTCTGTGACAGGGTCAGTGACAGGTTCATGACAGGTGTCTCTGTGACAGGTGTTTGTGACAAGTTCAGTGACAGTGTAGTGACATGTTCAGTAGGACCTGGTTTCATGACAGTGCCTAGTTACAGATTCAGTGGACAGGTGTTAATTTCTAAGAGTTTGCAAACAGCTGTCATTAGGCAAGTGTTACTGTAAAAGTGTCTGATAAATGGTACATGTTGATACTAGCTTATGTAACTTCACAAGTGCCACAGACGAGTGTCATGTGTAGATAAGGTTGATACAAGCACGATGAATTGTCAGAGTTTATCATCAAGACTTACTAGAGGTGAACAAAGTGGTACAGGATGCAGGTGTCATTCCATGTTACAGTCATTGTAATACCAGTGTTACAAGCTGCCATGTAAGTGACTGTCACAACCGTCATTATCAATAGTGTCAAAGTATGAACAATGTATTCGCAGGTACGCTTTGCCGTGTCAATGATCAATGATCCAGTTTGCAGGAAGTTGGCAGTTACAGTGAGACATGTTCTCGAGGAAGGTATGGTGACAGCCCACTCCCTTCACGCCACTCACGCGGACACAGCCACGAGGTTGAAGACAATGTGATCTCCGTAGTCTGTGGGGTAGACAGCACCCACTTCTCCCTCTCACGCCAGGATAAAGAGGTTCTCCTAATCTTTTGCAAGGCCGGTGACGTGTACAGAGACAGAAATTGAGTGATCTCTACTCACAGGCCAAATTATCGGGTGGTCTGGCCAGGACACATTTTGCGAATAAACTAAGGTCTTCAGGGTAGTTACTGAACAATGTAAAGTGTTGGTGGTAAAGGCATTCTCTAAATCAGCTGGGAAGGTGTCATCTGCAGCGTCTTGTCGACTTCTGCAGAAAATTATTCCGAAAATATAACTCCGCCCAAGATACTGTACACCTGTCCATACTTCACGATATCTGAGGAGAAGAAGTACCCGTGCAACTACCGTCAGGGATTCGTCGGTGCAACAACCATCCTTCTGCGTTGCAAGACTTCATAATGAGCTCAACATTGAGGTTGTGTTTTCACGCCACACGCCCACGGTCCGCCACAAAGTGTCGAGACAGCGCTCTTGCAGATGAGGAGATTGAGTTCTCACACCAACGGCCTTCTGGGCACTTATTGTTGCAGGTAGTCTGGCGAGAGTGTCGTCCGTCACTAGCACGCAACGGGCCACCCTCATTGTCTGGGTTACGGACACACAGCGCCGAGGATACCGTGGGTCGCCTATCCCATTCGACACAAGCTTGTCCCGCACTGAGGACGTTATGGTACCTAAGTACAATACTGCCGTGAAAACGTAGCAGTCGTAGTTACACCTGGGCACGTTGCGAACTCTCCCACTCCCACTGCCTCCTCCGGAATATCTAAAGGAGATGTAAGAAAATTATTCACATTATTCACCTAGGGCTTAGTAACCCGCATAACCGCAAGAAAGCCCAGTTGGCTATTTTCACAGGGATCATTTGGGTCTTTATCCTTAGAATGAGATCCACAATTTACCGTATTTACTGTAGAGTACCCTACTTATTTTAAAACATACTTGCCGCAACATCTCCACGATGCCCCAGGATCAAACTAGTATTTCGGTTATGAGCCGAAGGTGTTATCACTTAGTCAGGAAACCAGTCCGTCACTCTTGCAACAACATTACACGAGATAAACATCAACAAGACATGACAATATTGAAACATATAATAGGTTTCTGCTTTTTTTTTGTAAGCAAAAAATTTGCTCTACTCCAAACTCCATTTTCAAAACATTAGTATTGTAACAGAAGCCATCACCAACAGACTGACTGGTCAGAGACAGGGTCGTGATTACCGGACGCATGAAAAACAATATACATATATATGGTCCATCTATTTGTGAGTTAATGCAGTCGCAATATTGTGACTATATTGTTCATAGAATTTTATATTTTAAGGCATTTTAGTTCAAGGAAATTTTTTCGAATCCTCACCACAAAGATGCCTTTTGTAGCAGAAAGCACCGTCCCTGGATGTTCTGAGGGTTCTTACACAGATTCTCACACAGGTCGCTGTGTAGTAAGGTCATCCAACCGAAGTTCATCAGGGGAAGGCAAGGCATCAGAGGCTGCCACAGATACCGAACATCATTCTTAGTTCTCCAGCAGAGACATTAATTAATATTTTGTCTAACCTACAGCTAAACTACGTCGTTAAGGCTGCTTGAAAGATGTAGTATCACTGCTTCACTCTCTAGAAGAAACATTTTCCTTCTGACACAAACTAACCTACTCTAATCTTTCCAGGGGCCCACCAAATATGTAGATCTTTCAGATATTCTCTGGCAGGCGTTTATAAAGGTTGCTGGAATATCTAGTCCTTCTTTTAACTGTTTACACGATACTCTCATTACTATTGTTTCATCTAAAGATTTTTATACTTATTTGCTAGTTTTTGTAAGGTAAAGTATAATTTCAATAAATGAACTAATCCTTCCAAGAATTCGTTTGTTATTCGAAAAACTGGAGGAAGAAACCAGACGACGTTACTTGACTGTAACATCGCCTGTTTTTGTCTCGAAGTTTTGGGATATTGTGAATTTATTATAGTCCACGATACTGTGACAAAATAAATGTCGTCATAGGACCAGTAATGTTGACTCTGCCTCCATACTGATATAATGAATATTTCCCCGGTGTTCCTCGGTCCGCAGCACATATCACAAGATTCACTGTAGATATTGTTCAACGTTCTCGCCGCGAAGACCCATAAAAAAAAAACAGAATACGTCTTTGAAAGGGTCCCAAGACCAGGGCGTGAGCTAGCAGGGACGTACACCACCGATGCGCCGGACTGATTCTGTTTGAAAAAAAAAAAGAAAAAGACGGTGGGCTTTCAGATGGTTGGAGATGGGGGGCAAAATTCTAGTCATGTTATTTAGGCGAAAAACGTTAATCGGGAAAATTTGAACTAGCGGTGTTCGAAAGGACAACTCGTCTGTAATTAATAACATTATAATATTCTATAGAAAATTACTAAATTCGCAAGGGTGATACAGCGCATGGAGAATGGAAGGGGGCGGGTAGTAAAATAAAAGTTTTAATAACCATGGGAAGGGTAGCTAGCTGCAGTTTTCCACAGGCCCAAGTGTTTCTTTCTTCACTGGCGGACAAGGTCAGGGCGCCCCCTTTTGAAGGGAGATTTCGGACTGTAGCAGGACTAATTATTTTGCGAATTATATTTTTATGCTTTGTTTTTATTTTTTTTTTTTTTTTTTTCACCGTCTAAACAATGAAAATATCAAGACATTGAACTTTGAGTTTATTCTTATGACAGTGAGCATCTGTCACAAGGAAATGAGAAGAAGCATGAAGACACAGATATAATTGCAGAACAAGGTGTTTATTTGTTGAGTCACCTTTTCGCGCAATGTAGAGCTTTGATAAACCCTCTAAAAAACCTTCAGTAAAAGCTTAATCTGCAACGTGTGTTTGTCTATCATAACTTATCGAGCAATAAACCATTTACATACAATGGAATAAAGTATCAGGCAAACTGAACACACAGGAAAATGTGAGACCTGACAATCTATTACCAAAGATGGTGACACATAGGAACAGAAGAGCGAAGTGTGTGTAGCGGGGTTGTGTATTCTGGCTGCAGTGAGTAGAACTGAAATAGATGATGGTGGAAAGTGGAGGGGCCCGTGCTACGCTGTGAAAGCGTAGCTGGTGCTGGGGGGATCTCTCTTTCTGAATCAAATTGATGCGTGTGGTGGTGCTAAGCGGCTGAGGGATGCGAGTCAAGTCTGCTGGGAATGAGAGTAGAACAGGTAAGGTGTGTGATGCACTGGCACTCAGTGAGCGGGGCTATCTATTGAAAGGTTACGCTCATCGCATTGAATTTTATCCATCTCTGGGTTATATACAGCCGTCTAGCTAGGTGGGCGGATCAACACGGATCAAAGTTGTGTATGTACAGCTTAGATAATAACGAGAATTACGCGTACATCCTAGAGGATAGCATTCACCTACAGAACCATCGTTGACCATTTAAAAGGGGTGGGGGGGAAGAGTGATATGTTCTATTAGAGTAATATGTTGCTGGTGATATATGGATCTATATTATGGTATGGGCGCGTAGAGGATGAGTGTAGGCAAGTAACTCCAGATCTATCCCGCTTATGTATGTTGTGCATAGAGCTTTAACACTACTGCAGAAAACACACAACTTCCGTCGGATCTATTGTTCACATAATGGGTGACATTGTGGGTACAATATATGACCACATTGCTGACACACCACTGGGTGAAGGAGTCGTACGAAGGCACAAGTTTAAGTTGGATGGGAGGAGTAGGTTTTTGGGTGTGAGGAGGTGGGGTATTTAGGATAGAAATGGTTTTATAGGTTTAGATGTGGTGGGATGTGAGGTTGGGAGGGTGGTGTGTTAGATTAATTATGAGTATTGAGTGATAAAGGAATGTTAAGTAATGTGGTAAAGTTAGAGTTATAGTATTAATTTATTTTTGTGAGAGATGGGGGTATTTATAGTTTGTATATGTTTATTTAGAGATAAAGTTAGTGTTGATATTATTATAATTGGTTTATAGAGATAGAGTAGTATTATAG